AATTATAACACAGTACTAATATAACGAAAAGACATTTAACAAAGTGGTTGCGTGCAAATTACCTCCATTCCTTTTATTTCTGCGATAAATTTTTTATTTCGATATTTACATCACGTGAGGATGCACGACACATTATGTTATTAGCTGTTCTTATTTTTCAATTGGAGTTAATTTATCTCTAGAAATAATAATAAGTCTGCAATAATTAATAAATTTAAAAGCTTTTTTCTCATAACAGAAGACTTATCTAATATCTAAATAAAGGAAAGTTAATTCGACCGTGATCATAGTTCTTCCTCTTAAAATGTGAAATTTTTTACATTTTCCGAGATTCTATAAAATTATCCATCGTAGTCTCAATATTTCCATGATTCTGAAGGGAATACGGTGGCTATTCTAATTTATCCCGGGCTGTCATAACTTACAGACCGCAGAACATAGCATCATAATTCACTGATTCAGCGCTTCGTCAAGTGCTTTTCTTACCTCCTAGCATCCCATCGAAAAAAATGGCAGATATCATCTAGTCAGTATCATTAGATCCTATGTTCCGCATCTTCACAAAGAAATCCAATTCATTCCGGACCTGAAATAAAAAGTTTTGACAGCAGCCGGTACTATCGATGAGAATGCAGGAATTGTACTATAACTGGAAGTATCTTTACTCGCAATGACCATCGACAATTTTAGAGAAGTACTATTGATTCGGATCGCGTTGAAATTAGTTGCATTCGTATTGGGCGCGGAAAAGCACACGGGGGTTCTGAGGCAGAAACGAGCATTAGCTCTCAAACATGTCCGCGGTAGATTTCCCCGCGGACACTAATCACACATTGGCATCGAGGTATTAGCCGCAAGCTCATGGGAGAGGTAGTGTAGGTTTCCGGCTACCGACGATCAATCGACCATATAATGCATTTCATACCTTCTTTCTTGCTTATAGTTAAAAAAAATATATGTTCTCGTACTTTCGAGAAAATTTTAAAAAATTTCGATGAAAAGACTTAATTTATTTTTTTTTTTGCTCTTCTTTTCATAAGTTTTTTTTTTATTTAAAATTTAAAATAGCTATTTTAAATTTTTAGTGTGCGAACGATTATTTTTGATATAAGAAACTGACTCTTCCTTTACAATTCTCCATGCAGCCTTTCGGCACCACAATGTCCTTCGTAGCTATCAGAAATACCTACGTATGGGGCATGCATAATTCGCGTCTCGAACGACTCGAGCATTTCACACGACGAATGTCGCGCGAGTATAATCCGGAGTCCAATTAGCGATAATTACGGCGTGAATTGGGAATTCCTAATGGTAGGTATCCCCGTTAGTTCGTTCGTTCGTTTGCGCTCACCGTGATTTTTGTAGACGGCGTAATTCGAAGCTGTAATTAAATTTGTTCCTCGCTTATACTAACGATTCGTTCGTTTACACGAATTGAAAGAATTTTAAGTTACGTTTTATCTCTCGATATTGTATGTTTGTTGTTTCTTGAGATTGTTTCTAGCTGCAATCATAATCACGAAATACGGAAAAAAATGTTGTCGTATTTCAATTTAAAACTCAAGCTAATTTTCGTCTTCCGCATGATTTGGATATTGCTATTGTGAGTTATCCTTGGTGTTGGAGGGAGAGAACAACGGAGAATTAACGTATAAATTGGTTAATAATTCGGCGCATTGGTTTACAATCTATATCGTGTTGGCATTAGCATTAAATCTCCTAACAATGATCATTTTGTTCAAACCTATGAATAATTCTCTTCGATTTGCGCATACGTGGTTGACATTAAACGTGTGGCTATTCATATTGCATATTTCGTATTATATGTATCGTATCAATTTGTGTTTGATATTTTGTTTATAACCTACTTTCGAGATCTCTCTTTAATTTTCTCCTCGATTTTATTATATTTTCTGAATTACGAGTAAGCTTTCTGTAACTGGAGAGTAGTCTCATTAATTTTTAAAAGTATCGATATATTACAAACTAGTCACTTCAGTACATACTTATCGTGAAAATGTCTGATAAAAGTGCGCTACGGATATCATTTCGCTATTATTTATTTTGTATTATTACGAGATATTAAAATAATGTTTCAGTTTAACAATGTCACTTGCTTTGATGAAGTCTCTGTAAAATGATCCGACAAAGCAGTTACTTTGAATAAAACATGCTGTTTAAACTAATTCAGGAAATTACACTGGTTTGCGACTCGACACAGTCGTAGAAACTATCGCCATTCGGACTATGTTACGGATACACTTGGGAATACCGGGCGTGTTACCATGGAGCTTAATAATTTACTTATTAATTATTAATCTCAATTCGCATACGACACGTGTGGAATAATCGCGACAATTACATTGTGTCTCACGCGTGCATTGGTTCTGGCAAATTATTGAAATTATTTCATTTTTTATTTGGTACATTGCTATAATTTTATTTTATTTATTAATTACGAAAATATTTATAGCTTTTCTTATCTAGCTGCATAGTTATCGCTGCAACAATCAATTTAAATTAAAGCTAAAATTTTAAAATAATTATAAACTATGATTTTAATCTAATTGAAAAAAGTTATTAAATACAAAATTAGAAAATGTTAATAATTATAAAGTAGTATTCATGAATCTAGTCACAGTTTAAATAAATTATAAATGTTTAACGCGCGTCATCACATTTCCCGATGATCGATAGTTTTAATAATCGGAAGACATCTTCTACATATATTTTCAAAATCGATTCCGAAAAGGGACGAAATAACTCGCCAGTGATAATGTGGAAGCAGACATGGATTGACGTTAGCACCTTGACGAACGAGGTCATTTGTAGACACAGACATTACAGCGACCCGGTCGATGGACGGCGAAAGGATGCGTGGGGGCAGTTTGCAGACGGTGATTTAAAGGTCTATGAAGCGATGATGCCTTAAGATTACTTACTCGCCGGAACATAATTTCCCGGCTCCCGACTGCGTCTTCATGCTATAATTTACAGAAGCTTGCTGGCAACATGTTAAGAATGTCACTTCCTTCGTTTGCGTGTATGGAAGGCACGCGAGAAACTTTATTTCAAATAAAACAACCTCGATTTCCGAAAATCCCTAAATTACCTTTAACGACATAAGAGATTAATTTTTGTCAGTTTGTTTAATATTTACCACGCACATATCTAATTGATTAATTTATATTGTAAAGAAATACGAGACATACAAAAAAATTAATTTCATGTATTCGATTTGTTTCCGTTTATTTTTATCTTCTTTAATTCTTTGGAAAATTATTCCGCTAATTATTTCCCTTAATAAAGATTCAGTCTGTATATCTCGAGTTACATGGGGGTTTAAAATGAAATATTATATGCAGTTGTGCTTGAAGCAAGACTCCTTTTTTGATTAGACAAACTTAATACGTTGGTTCTAACATTCCAGACCATTCCGTTATGTATCGGGTTGCACGATTCGCAATTATGCATTCAACGCGGTACCATGCGTTATTCAATGCGATATTGAATATCACGTTACCAAACAAAACATTGCGGAATATCGGGATTTCCTCGAGTAATTGGAAGGCTTGTTACCGAAACTATTACCGCGATCGCATTATAATTACACCCTCTATGCTCAGTGCCGCGTTGCAGGTTTATCATAATTTCGTACACGCCATAAATAGGAAACCTGTTAATTGAACGTGACCGTTATTAACTTGCGACGCCATTAACTTTACGATATCTTAATTATCTTTAATACTTACTATTTTACAAAAAGAATCTTAGATTCTTACATTTATATATTTACATTTTAATATATTTGAAAAACCCTTACAGTTAATATAATTTACTTATCTTACTTTTTATGTGCTGACAATTATTAAGAAAATGTCAGATATTTTTAATTTTAAAAATCGTCGCAGATACTTATTTTTGCACATTTTTGATTTGTACATTTATTCATATTATTGAAAATATTATCATATTTGTACATTAAAAATGAATGTGTAATATAATTAAAATTGATATAAATTTTATTATATTACAGATTTCTATATTATTTGATTATATACATTTTTTCAGTTCGATAGCTTTTTATGTTCATCTCAATTTTTAATACTAAAATTAAATCTAACAAATTTTGATTTTAAAACATTTTTGTTCTACATCAATTTTAATAGCAAAATTTTTTAGTGCAATATCTCTATTTCTATAAATTTTTGATTTCTCTATTGACTTCATGGAATCTGGTTATGAGGTTTATGTATTAAGACGTTACTGAATGATTAGTTACAGTATTTATCCTTTGATTTCTGTTTAATGCAGAATTCTTATTTTGTCTATAGATGAACTAATGATTCATCCGGGATGATTTAAAGGTACCAAAGAAGGACAGAGATTGAATAGTCAGTAGAGAAAGAGGCGCGGATCTTTAGCGATAGAACGGCATATCAAACTTTTGGCAACTCGTAACTATCGATCGATTGAAGCTTAGATGGTGTCCAGTCTCGACAACCGAGGGATACGGAAGGTCCTTGATGAGGTCCCCGAGAGTCGACTTCAGTCTTTCCCCTCCGATCGTCTCTTCCATATCGAATCTGTCACCAGTTACACGAACTCTGCGACCATTCGTGTCTATCATAGTTTCTTGTTGATAGCCACATCGAGTATGACCCGAAGTGCGGAACTTTTCATTCGCTTACTGCCAGAAAGTAGCATTTGAGATTTGATAACATTGTTGTCTCTTTTCTTTTACAGCACATTGTGAAAGTTTTGCGTCAACTTAATCGTAATGTAAACGAAAATTTATACATCTTTCAATAATATATTTTTCTTTATTAAATAAATTGACAGACAAAGGACAAAATGACTAATAATTAATCTTCGAATAAAAGTTAAAAGTTTAACCGCATAAAATTCTGCTAGCATTTTTACATAGTGAAATGAGATAAATTAATTTAAAATTTTTGTTAAGTACTCATCTAATCGAAAATATCAATTTTTTGTTACAGGATGTTGCTTTGTAACCTTTTACACTAGAAAAGCGGCTTTGGCAGCACAGAACGCTCTTCATAACGTCAAAACCTTCAGTGGGGTAAGTAAATAACGAATTAAAAAACGCTAGATCACTATAAATATATACACGTGCGCATGAGTTTGTTAAAAGTTTAAACAAAGAGTGAAATTAATATGATAAAATTTACAATAAATTTTTAACTATTAAAACTTACGTGTAGCAAATTAATTACAAATTTAATGTGAAGAAAGAACCGTAACGATTATTTTGCAATGTGAGTGAATATTATAAAACATAGTTATGATACGTATTACAATGCCTGTATTATAAATATGTGCGTTGGCTTCACGATGATTATCTTTCAAACCAAACGCAAGTTTAGTCACCTCTGATCACAAATCATGTTGTTGCTGCATGTATCAATATTGTTGACGATAGAAATGTTTAGATAGCTTCAACGTATGCCAAGTACCGAATCAATTGCCAGACGCATTCGCTTAGCTGAATAATGAACGTTTACGCAGATAATTATCCGAGTGCTGATGATTGACCGAATAATGAATATTAATATAGTTGATCATTCGAATAAATTATTCAAATCATTCTGGCGGCTCGATGAATCTTCGAGTAATTATCACTACAAGTGAACAGTCTGTCGCAAACAATGTCTATTTATATTATTGGAATCATGTCTGTTTTAAGTAATCGACACATTCTTTCCTTGATCTAAAATAAAATAATGTAATTGCTTCAATATTAAAATCAAAAATCAAAACTCTGGAATCTTAATTACATAAAAAATAAAGTAAAATTAAATTAGTGACAGAAAAATCATATCTATAATTATCATTATTCTTTTTAGTTTCTATTAGTTTTTATCAGTGCGATAAAAACACCAATTAAAATTACAAGAATAAGACTTGTAAGCAAATGAATGTTAAAATGTTGCATATTTATAAATGATCATTATTCGTCATTACGATGCTACTAAGAGCTAGTAATAATTTGTAAAGCTACGAAATTTATGCACGGTATCAACTGCAAAATGAGTGCTAGAGCTTAATAAAATCTGGTATTAAAAATGGCGATTTTAAATAGAACAGAAGGACCATAGTGTATACAAATGAGAAAATTTGAACAATCTTCTCTCGTCAACGCTAATTGATTTAACTGGAACATGGATTAGAGAAAATTTTAAATGACGCATTTTTAAGCTTCTCTCTTTTTCGAATATCCGAAGCTGGCAGGCTCCATTATGAAGCTCTCGATCCTCTTTTCGATTCGAGATAACGTCGTCCTCGCCCGCTTGGAAAAATATTCCGTCAGAAAAGCAGCTTTCCTTTCTTTAGGTTTGGCATCCCGTCGATTACAGGCGACCGGAGGCCAAAGATATCGTTGGAAGTGAGCCTGCACGATAATTACAGTTTCCCTGGAAACTTTCGATGCAATTACGAGACGTCATTATGAGCATTTAACCGAGCAGGCCTGGCAATTCTGTCCTTCCTATCCTCCCCGCTTCCAGCCTGTAACTCTCATATACGTGTGCTTATGCCTGAATTTACGAGAATAATTATTATCGATCGAAAGAGCGAAAGGGCGTGTTGAATGTGTGACGATCCCTGCAAAGCCACGTGCGGATCGTTAATAATGTTCGATATGTTAAATGTGGCTGAATCGCAATAAATTGCATCAATTACATACACACATATATATGTGTGTGAGCGTGCGTGCGTGCGTGCGTGCGTGCGTGCGTGCGTGGTGTGTGTGTGTGTGTGTGTGTTTCATTATATTAAATCTAAAAATTTTTCTTTCTATTAGCAGCATGAATTTAACAATGCACAGCAGTTGTTCTTTTAATTATGTATGTATATTTATGTAAATTATGGATATTATACTTTCTAAGAGACTCTGCATGTAATTTATTTAAATCTACCATGAGCATGATCTTTTTATTATTACTTTAATAATACATTTTTATGTAGCATATTTCATTACATTGCTTTGCAGTGCGTAATATGGTAGTTACAATTAGAGCATGATTATTATTATTATTATTATATTTCACATAAAATGATTAACTCAGCATTTGTATATTGTTAAAACAAAAATTTTTGAAATATTAAGTTAATGGAATGTTTTATTAATTACGGAAATAATAAATTACTGAATTAATGCTCTTATTATACGAATATTAAATTTCTTTTACTGAATTCTCGGATACTTCACATATTAAATCCATTTCTTACGTGTACAGTTTTGAACATGCGAATAATTTGAAATCATCATTGTAAAATATGTTTAAGAAAAAAAATTTTATTGACCCATCGAGCGAAGAGAAACAACAAGCTTTTCTTACACATCGTACGGCGGCAGCATCATCTTGGCATCGCTTCAGATATCTTTTCTTCTATAGTCAAGTTTAGTGAACCCATATGTAGAGCTCATACATTACGAACACACATACACATCATATAATCTTACATACTTTTATGAGTAATAGCTCAAAAAATAGTTGACAAAAATTGAAGTAAAATTTTATTTTTTTTTTTTTTAAACGAATACGAATAATAAGAATAAGATTAAGATTCACATAAATTTGTACAAATAGAGTGAAATAGTAAACAGGCTATGCTCATTTTCTTATTTTTCTTATCTTTAAAAAAAGGCTTTTTACTTTCAAATTTTGTGATTATAATACAATAGCTATAAATACACAATAGTTGTACTACAATGGCATTAAAATCCCTAAAAAACTGCCAGTATATTTTTCCATCGTAATAATATTGTAATATTTTTATAATGTACCTTTTTTACAAATTTCTTTTTTATTTAAAAAAAAAATTAATTGCAGTTACATATAATATTTAAATTTTTTCCAACAGACGTTTTCTTTTACAATATTAGCAATATAAAATAATATAAAATACTAATTGCAATTTCCAAGTGCAATATTGTAAGTACATAAAAAACATTACTATAATTATTACATTTAAATTTTAGAATATAATGAGGGAAATAAGAAAGAGATGCTGATAAGATAAAGATGTATAAAGAATAATATTAGAGATAATTATTTATTATTTTACTCGTTCAGTTTACTCGATGTTTTATACATTAAAATACTTCTTATCGATCTACTCACGAAAGTAAAACGCGATGGGCTCCACTCGAGCTTCCTTGCAAAGAAGGTCGCGTGCCATGAAAGAGTTCAAATCTGAGACTCTTATGCCGGCTGTTAATTAAGGGGATTAAATAGCCGGAAGTCAAGCAGTTGCTCTTCGAGAAAGAGCGCGCGATGGCAATATTCAATCGAAAATAGAGTGATAGAAAAGAAACTTGGAGAAAGGGGTTTCTCTGATGTAAAAAAAAAAAGAGAGAAAAAAGAGAGCGCAAACAAGGAAGCGGGACGTCCTTGAACGACGCATTAAAAAGAAGGAAAGGGGAAGGAAGAAGAAAGAGGGAGGGGAAAGACGAAGGGGAGGGAGAGGGAGGAATGAGAAGAAAGGAGAAAGAGGAATAAGAAGGAAGAGAAATGGTGAATTGCAGAACGACGTTTTCGCAATGAAAAGGGTTGACTGAGTATAAGTGGGTAGCTGAAAGGAGCAAGAGTCGAAAGAGGCGGCGGAACGAGGAGGACGCTCAGGGGGTTGAAAACTCCGAATGAGTGGAGAAGGGGGTAAAGAGATGAAGAGGGAAGCAGTGGTATAGGTGGGAGAAGGTAGATAGGGGGCGAATAGAGAACGGCTTGTGCATTTGAAGGAGTTTAGCTTTTCTCGTATCAGATTTCGTTTCCACGAGTGGCGTCGAGTTGAGAGGTCTGTGTTGGCTCGGAGAAATGACTCGAGACTGCGAAACCTTTCCCCTCTCTTTCTCTTTCTCCCTCATTCTCTTTCTCCGCTCACCGCTAGTTCCTTTAGTCACTCTTTTGCAATCTTCCCACCCAACTGCATCAATGCGTTTCGACGCTATCCTTATTTAGTGCCCAACGGCAGATTTACTTTGTACAGAAACTAACGAGAGATCCTGTCGTTCCCATACACAGGATTCAGGCAGATTTTGGTTTCTATAGTATTGTGATAGTTTTAGGTACAATGGTTTACAATTCAGAACTACATATCTATCTGCTGTACAATGCTCAAAATCATGTTCAAATGTCACGTTGTACTCGAAATACTTCGAATATCGTATTCGAAAAAATATGTTTTATTATTCATTGTAAAAATCCTTGTCTATTTTTGTTCCTTCAATGTCAATTCTATTTCATATATTCGCAAAATTCGTTAAAAAAATATTGCTTGCCACCTTTCCGTTGCGAGTAAAAATTTCATGCGTGTAAATCTACGTTGCATGAGAAAAAAATATTCACGTCTATAATTGAAATAGCGGAGTAGTACCCCGTGGCGATTTTGCGGCAAAGAAGGGGGAGGAGCACGTCTGGCTCGCAGCCGCGAAATTGGCGGAAAACCGTGGCGAATTTACAAGCATGCATACCGCCCTCGCAACAATGCGTAATATTATTAAAGCGCGACGGGACGAGAGATATTGGAGCGTTAGTAGGCAAGGTACAAATGGAAAATGAAACTATTATACGATGAACGCTCCGTCGCGATCGATGAATACGCGGAAATTGTGAACAGAAAATTCTTTGTAATCGATCGTATCAATCATTCTTTTGGAAGATTTATAAATTTAAGAATGTGAATTTTAAGAATAAGAAATATTGCAGCTTTTACATAGGAATGTGGAAGAGAATAGCTTCTTTTTTTAAGATATCAGTTGCATTTGAGTAAACGTCTCTTATATTTAAATATATTGAATTTTATATTTTTAATATACTTCTGTTATACTAATTTAATGTATTTTGTTATCCTAATTTTACATTCTTTATTCAATATTTAGATGAAGTCGTTAGATAAATACACTAAAGAACATTGAGAAGAAATTGAATTAGCATTTTGGAAAAATACTTCTTTAAGATTTTAATAAATTAAAAAAAATTATTGAAAAAAATAATTTTTCATATTAACACATCACTAGTGATTCTTTTGAAAGATGTAAGAATGGCAAAAATATGAACA